ATATTTCTATTTCAACTGACACATAACAGTTGTACACACTGCTGGGTTACTCTGAAATTCTGTTTTCTGATTTTTAAAGTAGAGTGTACGTTAACAGGTGATATAGAGAGTGAAAGTTGTACATAAACCGCTTTAAATATTACAGGACACAATTTGTACTGAGAAAATTTATTTTGTGGGAGGGAAAACTAAGCACAATACACCGCTTGTGCTAGAAGCTGAGTACCTATTGGTTTATTTCAATATGATATGAAGTTTCCATATAGATCTGCATGTTTTTAAGTGAATAAATGAACTACTTCACCTTAAAAAGTAGAAAGTAAAACTATGTCACCAGTACAGGGAGGTCGACCCGGTACAATCTTACTGGCATGTCCAAATGCCATCATGCCTGCATCAACACAATATCTTGTTTCAGTTGCTATATGACGCATTCCATACAAAGTGCATGATAAAATGCCTGCTAAATTGTTAGAGGCTCATGATTTGCTGACTGCAAATCCATAAGGAAGAATCTCATCATTTTGTTAAATTTTACAGGTAAAAAGTAGGCTCCTTTTCCTTCATTTAATTCTAAGCCTTCATGCCTTAGGCTGAAGGGCTTAAATCTATAATTCAGTATGGTCTTGCTTAGAACATTTTCAAATCACCACCAACAATTTGTTCTCTTAATGAAGGGCCTATGAAGCCAGGTCAGCATTTTAGCTGTGCGTTTACCATTTCACTCCCTCATTCCTTCAAGGTTTATAGTGGGAGTTCTGGGTCTGTGACAGTCTGGGGTGTGAGCCTGCCCGTGGCCTACGAGGCGGGTTGGCTGGGCAACTCTGACGTGACTCTGTGGAAAGAGCAGAAACCTCCACACCCTCATCTCTCTCAGGGAAAAACCATGGTCTCCTGTTTTAGCATCTCCAGGCCTTGGGAGATATGGCACATGCTCCAGAGTACAGCTAATTATTGGTTAACAAACTGACATGAAATAAAATTGGTGGGATTCAGGGTGAAGTAAAGGGAAGAGGTCACATTTACTGTGGACTGACATTCAAGGTAAGTTTCGAAAACCTTTTCTTAGCAGTGCTATTACATGCCATGGCATTCTTATCTGTGATCTCACTTTCTGCAGATTCAGTTATCCAAGGTCAACTAACGGAAAATATTAAATGGAAAATTCTAGAAAGAAACAATGCATGTTTTAAATAATTTTTATTACAGTATATTTATATATTCTTTCTATTTTATTATTAGCTGTATGGTGCTTTGTAAACAGTGGCCAACCTGGTCCCAGAGGCTTCATTCATCTTACGATACCCTTTATCGGACCCTTAGGAAGCACCGTTAAGCAGAGCGGAAGATCTATATAGAACATTTTCTTTCTATTTGTATGTGATTGTGTCACTTGGCTGTGGCTTACAAAGATGATTACAAATGGTAAAGTTAGAGTTTGCTCTTATCAACACTTCAACTTACACTGCTTTGGCTGGATCTCAGAATAAACATATGTTCATTTGAATTTGTACGTATGTGTGTATGTGTAGATATAATCTGTAATCATTTGTGAGAACACTATAACTACCTCATGCTACTACCGAAGGAGATTTTACCATTGACCATTCCACTGCAATGACAAGGACCCTTTTCTAAAAGCCTAAGTATCACACATAATAGCTTTTCTGCTTTGAGAGAACGTCAAAATGTTTATTTTCTTAAGAGATAAGGCCTGATGTTTCTAATGCTAGTTTCTTCTGACCCAGGTACCCATTGTAGAATTTTGGTACAGACATCAAAGACTCCCATTTTTACTGTTAAATACAGTAACATTTTTTTTCTTCAACCCCTTTAGAAAAAACACGTTTGTAACACTGTAGGAGTACTCCATGAGCAGTTCTTAACTGTACTGAATGACACAAGTTAACCTAGTCGTTTTGCAGTCTGCAGTAGTCAAACTTATGCAAAAATGGGCCCATCCAGTTTAAAAAGGATTCTGGAAATGAGTTAGCAAAAGAGCTGCCTGGCTCTTATCTCTATGTGTGGAAGTTTGTTTTCCATACCTCCAATCTTGGCGTTGAAAGCAATTCCAACTGTGCAGTGAGAGTTGTTTGCAGCGGCTGCCACTTCTCCAGCACAGCGGGTTCCATGCCTGCAGGCAGAACACACACACTTTCTAAAGTAAGACACTCCATTCTCACTGACTCAACACATCACCCCCACCACTCAGGTTTCAAAGTAGTGAAGAAAGCATCCAGCTGCGGGTGTGTCTGGAACTTCTTACCCAAGTAGCACTTGGGTTGTCTATGGCAAATTCTTAGCACATAATTATGCTGTTTTGGATTATATTATTTTAGTATTTATATGTTTGCTTTTGATGATATCTTGCTCTCTCAACTAGAAAATCTTGAAAGCTAAACCCCACCCATTTTTCTGTATCTGCCACACTTCTGCTGACCAGAATAGTAGCCACAAGTCATATATAACTATGGGGTCCATGAAATGTGACTAGTGTGAACTAATTTCAACTTTTATAAATTAACTTTAACTTCATTAAAAACTAATATTCAAGTATGAGAAAAGTTAACAATGTGGGTATGAGAATATGCTTATTACACTGCAATTTTAAATATAGTCAAGCTTTCTAATGAAAAATTTCTGTCAAGAACAGGATGTGCTGTACGCACTAAATTACAAAGATTTTGCATAAAATAAATATCTCATTAATATTTTTATATTAATTACACATTGAACAACCTTAGTAAAATATATTGCAAAGATTTATTTCACGCGTTTGTTTCCATCTCTTTTTTTGATGCGGCTATAAGAAAATGACTTTTGTCCCCAAAGCACTCTCTTTTCTTTCTTTCGACAACACCTTTGTTCCCTGATCAGCAAAATCTTGTTGCTGAAAGGACTTCTAGGATCATCTTTTCCAAAGATGCCAAAAAAGTTTCAAATACAAAGAACAATATATTTGGAAGTAGTGGCCTTAAACACTGTGTGAAGAATGTTACGGCATGAACAAGACGAGAAAAAGAAAACAGTAAGACTGAAGGCTAACATCTGCCTTGGGAACAACCAGTATGGTGTATTTGCCTTTGCTAAGGGCGCTCATGGCCCAGCCCTTCCCCTCAATTTTAGAGATGAGCTCACTTAGAAAAGAGATCTGTCAAAAGTAGCACAGTTAACAAACCAGTGATTAACTCTGAGGTCCTCATTTCAGTGCTTTTTATTCACAGCTGCCTTGGACCACACTTGTCACAGGATATGACTATCATCTATGCAACTCTGAACAAGTTGTCGCCCTCCATCAATAGGTACACATGCAAGTCTACACAAAGGAGACACCAAATACTGCTTTGTTCACTTAGTAACATTTCTGTAATTTCACTTATAGAAACATTAATACGTATCACTTTGTCACTAATATAACCCATAAGTAGTCCATATTGAGTATGATGCATGTGTACCTCTATCTGTATGTATAGACACATACATACACACACACGCACCATAATCTCTCACACAATCTCTATTCCTGGAAATTTTACACAATTTTTCACTAGGATTAACAGGATATTAAGAACAATCTTAAAAATTATTTTATATACATATATGCATATATAAAATTTAACACCTGGTGATAAATTCCTAGAAGTAGAATTATGGAACCAAAGGATACAGTATATGTTGTAACCAAACCACATAAAAATGGTATGATTAAACCAGGGATTTAGCTCAGTGGTTCTGCAGTCTGCCTCACAAGTGCAAGGTCCCAAGTTTGATTCCCGGTACCAACCCCCCCCCACCCAAAACAAAAAACTATTACAAAACTGTGCACAGCCAGAGAGAGAAAGAGAGAGAAAGATTATAGGCCAAGTTGAAGGAAAGTGAAGACTGCAGAAAATATATGGATGAATCCTATACACAAAGCTTTGTGCATTAATTTTTTACTCATTTTTATCCTTGCCCATGTGACATGTCAGGTCACTGTACGCTCTGCCCCGCACCGCACATTCAATATTAGATGTTTTTAAAAATATTTATTCCTTATATCTGTATACTGCCTTGTGAACAAATAATCTCCACATCATCTTTGCCTAGATTTCTTGTTGTCTTTCTGGCCAAATTTGTTGCAAATGTGTTTCCAAGTTTGGAAAATATCAATGTAATTTTGGCCAATTTTGCATTGCCCTACAAGTATTTGATCTTGCTATGCTTGCAATTACTTTGCCCTTCTATTATTATCACGTTACCCATTAGACAAGAAGATCAATTGTTAAAAGAACAACTATGTCCTCTTCAAGCCCCTACCTCAAGTAATAGTCTCCTCTGGAGCCTCGCAATCATTAACCATGATTCTTCAGCAGGCCCTTCTTACATATTACTTCATGATGGAAGTTACTTTTATTTAAACTTGATTTCCTCAGCGAGGCCACTGTTCTTACTCTTCATTGTATCTGTTGTTAATTAATGCTAAGCAGTATTGAACACTAGGGTTTCTATTTTTAAATTCAGGTCTACTTTATTCTTTGGCCCACAGGTTACTCACATTTTGATATTTTCAAATGTATATGGGTAGTGTTTTGATATCAATTGATTTGATTACATTATAATAAAAGAATGTAATGCATATAAATCAATTCTTTGAATTTAGTGAAATTTACAAAATGGCAGTGATAATAACTAATGGATATAGTAAATATTACATGTGCTTAAAATGATGTGCTTTCTCAAAAGCGATGTTCTGTATATTCTCCAATTATTTTTCAAATCGTTTATTATATGTATACAATGTCAAACTTATTTAATAAGTCATGGATTTATTAATGTTCTTTTCTCTTCAGTTCTATCAATTTTGTTCTGTTTAAAATTGATATTAATCTTCTTAGTGAAACAAACTATTTAGGAATATATAAGAACACTTTGGTTCTTGCACTAAAAGAAGGTGTCTGTTAATATTTAGCTTGTATGTGTTACCGTACTTTACAGTTTATTTTCAAACATTCTATGTTCATATTAGTTATGTCTTTTTATAAAAAGAATATGCTGGGGGCCAGGGACTTAGCTCAGTGGTTCCACGACCTGACTAACAAGCACAAAGCCCTGATTTCGATTCACTATACACCCCCCCAAAAAAAGAATATGCTAGGTTTTTTGTATTTTTGAAGCTAGGCTATCGGTCTTCTACTGGAGTTAAGTCATGTACGCTAACTGTGGTTACTGATTCAAACACGTTCATTATGCAACCTTTTCCCCTGTACAGTTTGGTTGTTGTACTTATATAGTACTAATGCTAAGTATTTGGTTATGCAAAGCTAACAACACAAAATCTGAGGTCGTCAATTCTTTTATTTTCTTTTCACAAACAACAGAGACATAGAATACCTTAACTCTGTTTTTTTGTTTGTTTGTTTGTTTTTTGTACATTGAACTCGGGTCCTTGCTATTGCAAGGCAGGTCACCCAACTGCTGAGCTAAATCCCCAGCCCTAGAATACCTTAACTCTGATTATCCATCTCTCATACCCATGTCTGATCTCCCCGTGAATATAATTATACATTAGAATATTTAACCCTATAAATTATCATTATTGTTATTACATTGTTTAAATTTACAAATATATTCTTTGTTGCATACTTTCTGTTGGGAGCACTGAACATTCAGTAAACATACTCATCAGTCTTTTGCAGGTCAAAAGTCCTTTTTGATAGCTTCAGAAATTGACTTTATTTTACTGCTCTTGAAAAATAATTTCAGTGGGTAAAGAATTTACAGTCTCACGTCACTTGAAAGATATCATTCCCCTGTCATCTTGCTCCCAATAAAAGGTCAGCAATCTGGCAAATCCGTCTCTCTGGACATTTTTCAGATATTCTCTTTGAGTTTTCTGTTCTGCAGGTTCATTAAGATGCCATGTGCATGGATTACAAAAAAATACTTTCGTGGAATTTCTGAACTTAGTATCTATTTCCTCAGATTTCTTCACTGTTATTTCTAAAACTGCTTCCTTCGTTCCTTCTGATTTCTCCTTTCAGAATCCCAATGAAGGGCTTCTGTACACTGAATGGACTCACTAGCATTAATCTCTTGAAATCGTCTCTATCTCTCTGTGTGTGCATAAACCAAGTCCCAGAACACGTGCGACCATCATGTACCATGTACATTAGAAAGGGCCTATGAGCTGCAGGAAGGGAGTGGGAGAGAAAGGCTTCAAAAAGAATTAAGAATCACATATATATATATATGTACAAATTACCCACAATGTATGGAATTATTATGTACTGTAAATATGTACCAAAACTTTTCTTTGATCTAAAAAGTCTCTCTGTGGCTGCGGTCTCAATAACTTGACTAATTGTATATTTCACTCATCCTATCTGCACCAATATTAATCTGATATTAATCAATTTATTGTTATTCACTTCAATTATTGTTTTATTGTCTGAAGTTCTTTTAAAAATTTGATTACCTTGACTAGTCTCTTTTTTCTTAATATACTTTTTCTATATCCATTTTTATACATCTAAATTATACCTAATAATTCCAAACTATATAAATTGAATTCAATTATTCGTATGCTTGCAGCTAGCTTAGTTTCATAGTGTCATTTTCCTTTGTAATTTATTTTCCATTTAGGAGGTGATATTGCTTAGGCTTTAATCTTTCTGAGTTCTTTCAGACTGGGGTGGAAAACTTATATTTTCAAAGATTTAAATTTGCTTCTGCCACATTTTTGGTGGTAAATCAACGAGGACCTGCTTAACTAAATTAAAACTTGAACTATGTAAATCATATGAATTACAGGTGTAAATCTCCTAAGTGCTGTTAGTAGTTCTTCAAGGATATTTATTTGCTTATTTATCTTCTTGTCCTACCTTGTATGTAGGCTAGAAATGTCACATATTTCTCCTGTTTCACAGTATATAGGGCTTTTTCCCTATTAATGAAGGTGGCTCTTTATGAAATCTGCTTTATGCATAAGCTCTCTCTCATTTCATTAAAGTTTTGTGCCTTGTTATATCAGGGCTTTAAAATACACATGGAGGCTGAATAGAATTGGTTGCTCACCTTGGAAAAGGCATATAGATCTTGAACCAGATTAATCATGCAATTAAACACTCTTACTTAGCATTTTTCCAGGAGATA